AGCCAGATAGACTTCATTTCAATCTCAAGGAAGTGGAGACGGAGCCTACTGGACACAAGGTCGAGGAGAGGAGCAGATGTGGGTTCAGACCACTATCTAGTACAAGGGACATTCAAGGTGAAGCTGAAAGCCTCGAGGATACCTGGGGATAGGCCACAATGCAAGTTCAACACGCAAAAACTGAAAGACACAACCACAAAGGACACTTTCACTGCAACTGTCAGAGCAAAGCAGGAAACACTACGTGGCACCACTGAGGAATCATCCGTGGAAGACCATTGGAACTCTCTGAAGGTAATTTTCAACGAAACGTGTTCAACGGTTTTAGGAAGAAAGAAGAAACAAGACAAGGAATGGCTGTCAACGGACACTTGGAACCTAGTAGAGGAGAGGAGAATGGTGAAAGAGAAAATGATTCATTGCAAAGATGGACAAGAGAAAGAGACGCTGAGCTCAACTTACACAGCACTGGACAAAGAAGTGAAGAAGAGTGCTAGGAAGGACAAAAGACAATTCTACGACAACCTGGCTACTGAAGCTGAGAATGCAACAGACAAAAGGAACCTAAGGACACTATATCAGATAACCAAGTCTCTATCCGGGAAGAGATCAACACAAGTGAAACCTATAAAAGACAGCCAAGGGAACCCAATTACCAAAGAAGAAAGACAGATTAAACAATGGGCGGACCACTTCAAAGGACTCTTGAACCGACCACCACCTGCAACCCGTCCAGAAATACCAACAGCGCATACACAACTGCAAGTTGACACCGATCCTCCAACGAAAGCTGAAGTCTTGAATGCAATCAAGGACCCAGAGACCACAGCAGATATGCTGACTCCATTATTGCAAAAGGTCTAGAAGGAGGGAAAGGTGCCTACTCACTGGAGGAAAGGTTACCTTGTGAAACTACCAAAGAAGGGCGACTCAGGACTCTGCAAGAACTGGTCAGGAATCATGCTCCTGTCGACGCCAAGTAAAATTCTGAGTCGCATCATCCTGGAGAGAATCAAGGATGCACTGGATATAGAACTCCGACCAGAACAAGCTGCATTCAGGAAAGGCAAATCATGTTCTGACCAAATTGCAACTCTACGCATCATCATCGAACAAAGCATGGAATGGCAATCAAACCTCTACATCAACTTCATAGACTTTGAGAAGGCCTTCGACAGCGTTGACCGCGAAGTAATTTGGAAACTACTCAAGTACTACAGCGTACCCCAAATATTCATCAACCTTATTCAACAGCTGTACGACAACGGCACATGTCAAGTGATCCACAACGGAAAACTCAGCCAGGCGTTTGGAGTAAACACAGGAGTCAGACAAGGGTGCTTATTATCACCAATGATATTCCTTATTGTGGTGGACTGGATTATGCGTCAGACAGTGGGAAACGAGAAGACAGGGATATCCTGGACCGACATGAAGAACCTAGAAGACCTGGATTTCGCAGATGATTTATGTTTGATGGCACACAAAATCGAAGACTTACAAGCGAAAATCGACAAACTGGTCGAAGAAGCAGCAAAGACAGGACTCCAGGTGAACATAGACAAGACGGAGGTTATGAAAATAACCAACTAACAACAACAACAGCAGCAGCAACATCCAGCGCCAATCACCATCAACGGGAGGGATTTGAAAGAGGTTACTTCATTCACTTATCTAGCGAGGGAGCATTGTCTCAACTACAGGAGGAACGGACGAGGATGTCAAATCGAGAATCAGGAAGGCGAGAAACACATTCATCAACCTGAAACCAATCTGGAAATCTTCGTCACTCAGCATCAACAACAAAATTCGGATTTTCAATACAAACGTCAAGTCAGTCAGTTCTTCTATACGGATGGATCAGAAACTTGGCGGGTCACAAAGAATATTTCCAACAGCCTGTTGCACACCTTTATCAACAACTGTCTTCGCTCCATACTGAAGATTAGATGGCCGGAAAGAATCACAAACAAGAAGCTATGGGAACAAACGAAACAGGAACCAATCGCCCAACAAATATGCAGGAGGAAGTGGAGATGGATTGGACACTCGCTGAGGAGGCCGTTGGGTGACATCACGCGTCAGGCCAACGCTCGAGTGGAACCCGAAAGGGAAGCGGCGAGTGGTTCATCGGTGCAAGGGTGACATGGAGGAGATCGTGTGAATAGGAGATGAAGCAGTATGGACTAACGTGTTTGCGGGTGAAAAGTACAGCAGAAGACAGAAACAAGTGGAGGCGTGCAGTTGAAGCCCTATGTTCCACTAGGAACCCAAGGGAACAATAATAATATAATAATATTTCAGATTTACATTTTTTCATTGAAAGAAGTAATACAATTACAGAATTTCATTCATCTTCGAGGGTGCTTACAAGACTATGCTTTCTTAGGCGTCCACAGGCTACGATTCAGTATCAGAACCTTCATTATAAGAAAGCATGTGATTGTACACTTAATACCAATAATTCTGAAACTGTTAAGCATCAGTTGATCAAGTCACTTGGCCTAGTAACAATAAGAAACAAATGTCAAAACTCTAAAAACACCAGACAAGTATCGTCTGTACGCTGAGCTATAAATCCTTACCATTCAGTAAAGAGCCTAGTGAAGAATACGCGTATTTACGCGTAAACGAACCGCATTGTTGTGATAACATGAATCATGTGTTGACTATATCTTTGCATTTATGTATTGCCGTTTCATTTTAAAAAAGAAAACTTTACTTCATCCAGTTAACAGAATATTTTAAAAATACTTCACGCCAGCATCTCATATTGCTATAAACTGTTCTCATTTTAAGCGAACAACAAACTCACCTTTGTGTATCACATTGACAGTCAAGTAACAGTGACTTCTTCTCAATTAAGGCTATTGATCATCACTCACTTTCTCACTGCTCACAGGTTACATATCAGCCAAATAAATTGATTGAAAAGAAAAAACAACTTTTCAGTATTTTTGCTACACATTCGTAAGAATTTCTTTCTTTCCTGCTCTATTGGCTTAAATTCAGATAAGACTAAATCATTCAATCATTCACTGACACAAACGATATATATATATATATATATGAGACACCTTGTGTTCAGTTTTTGTCAATGCCAACTCGCAGTGAATTACGATGAAAGCCTTCTGTGTCAAGAGAGTCAGTTTACCATTGAAATCCAAGGGATGCATCATTGCGCTTAGCGGTTTAATTGTAATCGTATTTATATACTCCTTATCTTCGTCACTGTTAACGACAAGTATAAAGAACGTTCAAAATATACGCCCAACATTAACTGTAAGTCTTTTTTCCTGATTGGACCTAGGTAAATAATGTATAACATTTTATATTTGTACGGAGTATTTTCATGATTAATATAAACTGCAGAAAGGAACCTCTGAGAAATTTACCTGTTGATTACAATTACCAAACAGGCTCAGGTGAGCGAAGACACTATGAGCCTAACATCACACACCTTTGAATTTTGTTGTGATACTATGCTAGCACTGTAAACATAATTGTGTGAATATATGTAAAAATTACTCGTAATGTTTAATAAGATAGAAAAATAAGAAAATCTAGGACAGGAAAAGAGCAATTATGGATAAATACGAAATGTTTAGTTTGTTTCTACAGCCCATATTCCTAAATAGCCAACCACAATTTCCAGGGAGGATGAAAAGGCATCATAGATGTACTGTGAACTTTCGTCACACTTATTCGCGTTGTAACTACAGTAGTAGACGCATGTGGTCAGTGGTTAGGTCTGAATTACACATGGCTCAGCTGTCTTTGGCCAGTGGATTTTATTAGCCCTTTCCCTGTCCACCTCATAGGTACATACTAAAGGAGTGTCACTTTAAAGGTAACTATGATGTATTCTAAATCACAGAAGTGAACTGGCTTCAAAAAGGAAACTGAGTAACTAGGTCAGTTAGAATGCCCACTTAAATCTAAAATAATAAATTGTTATAAAAAATTGTTTACTAAAGAGGATTTCTTTTTTGAGTCGGAGGAGTGTGGAAAGAAGAATGTCGGAAATAAAGCTTTTTTGGAACTTTTGTCTAATTACTCTGATTTAAGACAGACAACCGTTAACTTGCCGTAAAATTTACACACACAGTTCTATTGTGGATAAAATTTATTTTGATAGTTTCACAGTGTTATACAGTAATATTTACTGATACCGTTTCGAGTACAATTTATTGCTCATAGTCATATCAAGTTACTCACATAATTTTCAAACTTCATTTATATGGTTCCATTATTTCTCATCTCTTGATCTGAACCTACACCCAACACGTTCAATTCACCACTCATACCAGAAATATGGAAAACATCACTATCAATCGGATCAAGAGAAAGAGAAATAGTGGAATCATATAAATGATTTCATACATTTGTTTCCCTTGATAAATTTCGACAGAGAAAGAAAGACCAGATTTGCAGTACAAATGAAACTTTGAAAATTGTGTGAGTGCCTTGATATGATTATGATATGATGTGATTGTGAGCAATAAATTATGCTCGGAACGTCATCAGTAAATATATAATATTACTGTATAACACTGTGTGAATTTATCAAAATAAATTTTACCCACAATGCAATTATACTCTGTCGTAGTGCACAAGTTCTATTCTAGTATCAAATTTACATGCAACTTTTAATGCTATCAGTATAAGGCTCAAGGATCTCAAGAAAGAAACGGTCATATCAAAACTAACTGATTTACTATGCAGTGATAAGCATGTTACAGTAAATCTCCGGAAAATTGATAAAGAAAACGTAAAATGACGACGCTCCCGATGTGCCAGAATGATTTCAGAAGGCATCGAATATATATGAGTATATTCTTTAATATACATATATATATATATATATATATATAGCTTCCCATTATTCTTATTCTTATTATTACTTTCCTTCATACTGCCAGAACAATAGAATTCATATTGCCACACTGATTAACAGTGAGAAAGACCTAAGCTACATTGACGTATTGATCAAGTCAATGATGTATTATCAGCAACGCTTCCACTGTCAACATAAAAGATGCTGTCTGGTTGATTTATGCAAACGAATAACGAATAAGAACACCCAGTGTTTAGATAAAAAGTTGACTAATGGTGCAATCACCTTTCATCTTATTATCGATAAAAGTTCACGAGCGAAATTTCAAAAAATTGCGAAAAATTGGCATCTGAATAAAGTGAAATTCGAGTTCTATGATTATGAAGCTTATTCGGTAAGTTTACAAAGACAATTCTTGTTCTGTTTTTTTAGATGATAAAATAATAATTCTTACTTAGGATTTTCTTTTCTTTACATTCAATTTGTGAAATTCGGAAGTTGATAATTGCTGGTTAACTCTGAAAACTCCGAACAATCATGACGTAAAAAGGCAAACTTGATAGGTGAATAACTTCAGTGTGAGAGGTCACTTTCTCACCATAGAGTATTGTCCATGCTGCAGTAGTGAAACCACAGTTTAGCAATTTTTTTTTAGTAGCTAGCAGTGAAGCGTAGAGTGAACTTTTTACCTTATCCTTCTGGTGCTTTTTTGCAAGTTACTTTTCTTGTTGGCAATTTGAATACATAATCACTTGGTTTAGCTTCCAGAAGATAACTCACGCGTCAAAAGATTATCCTTTTAAGAAAGTCAGCAGTCACTGAAATAAACGTTCACTTATCGTCTAACACAATTTAAAGGTGACACCAACAAAAAAAGGAATTTCAAGTCTATCTGTTAGCAACTAGAATATTATGCAAGATTTACGCACTATAGCTTTTACAGACTCTGTAACTTTCAGTCATTATAAAATTAGAACAAGACTTAGATGGTAGAAGATGGTTTGAAAGACTTCCGTTGATGTATTTCGGTTCATTCGTATTACAAAATCCAAAACGAGTCACAATTAAGTATAGCTGCATCTTCAAGCTCGCTAAAGGTTAATGTATAGATAAACAAACTTTACATATTTCAGTTCAGTTATGAATGTGGATAGGACAAAATTGAACGGCTTTATAGGAGGCAATACATTCTTGTATTGAAGGCACAAGCTATAAAGATGAACATTTGCTTTTAGAATATTTATGAACATGCTTGAATTCTGTGAAATTATCTAGTCATGAAGGAAAAAAATCGAACTGTCTGATGATCAGTTTTGCAATGCACTGTAAAAAGGTTGAAAATTTTTTTAGAACATAACCATGAATATATGCAGAGTAAGGATGGGACACAAAGATTGAATCAATGAGTTGTAAACATAGATAGAAGATATACAAGTGTTTTAACAGAGTCAAACTTATTTCGCTCAAATATGAGACAAGTACAAGATTGAAATAAAGCATCAGAGTAAAACAATGGTTGTAATGAAGACACTGGCAGACTAATCATTGGCTCGTTCCAGTAGAAAGACCATGTGTTAGCGTCTAAATTGTAATACTATTTGAGAGGCTATCAGTAATAACTGTTCTTAATAAACTAATTGCGTTTTTCGTCGCCATGCCGCGTATCTAGAAGATGACGGTAGATGGAGCTTTCAGTCTTCCTTCATGATTATCTCATTTCTCAAATACGTCAAGTATACTGATCTACAAATCGTAATTTAAATTTTTAACCTTTATGGCTTGTATTCAGCTGAATGACGAGAATGCCATAAAATATAATGAACCTAACATATTCAATAAAATCATTCGTTATTGATTTATTAATCCAACAGAGAAACATTTAACAATCGATAAAAGAACTCAACAGATACCTTATTCTTACTCTATGAAATCACATAATTTTTTTCATTTTTAACAGAGTAAATTTAACTGGATTTTATCACACCCTCCTGCAGATATTAAATCCTGCACAAAGTTGTTACTACCGGAGATTTTACCAAGATACGTTAAACAGGTATGTTAAACCCCAGAATCTTTTGGACATTTATATAAGCCGCACACCTGACATCATTGTTTCGCCTGCTAAATTTGGACTACCCATATAACATGCTGAAAATTTCCTGCTTGTATCAAAAATACTTTGTGGAGTCAAGCTATAATAAAATATTATAAAAAATAAATAAATGCAGGTTTTTATGCCACAGATAAACATAATAACGAGTAGTTTAAAGCATTAGTGTAAACACTTTGAAGAGGAATACCTTGATGATATTAAATTATTTGTAGTATATTCAGTGTTAATATTAACTGGAATTGTATGCACTGCAAATACGAGATTTACCTGGTAGCATGTTTTACTACTCAATGCTCACCAGCTTAGTTACCAGGTTATGACTAACATAAGAAAACTTGTCCTCTCAGAAATATTTTCATTTAGAAACCCCTGGACTTCAGAAAAGTCTTTTAAACAACCAGCTGTATAATAATAATAATAATAATTTGCTTTATTCCAGAAACAGTGCTAGTGGTACAGGGTCGAATTTTTAGCACATATCTACAATATTTGCATCTAATTTTATCAGACATTTAAAAGGAGTATTTCAAAAAATAAATAAATATAAAGACACCAACAGCAAAAAAAACAGGAAAAACAAAATATTTTTTTTTAAAATACTAGAAAATACCAAGAAGTAGAAAGGAAAAGAAACATCATATAATAATAACTCAGTATTGGGTAGTGGAGGCAATGATATGATTATGCATGGTGACAGTAAAGCTATAGTCATACAAGAAGTTATGAAATGATATTTAAGAAAGTTTATCGCCAAGATGTTCAGTTCAGTATTCAGTCGTCACATAAAAATGGAAGCTATTTAATCCTGCCGCGTTTATTTCTGTGAATGACCACTACCCAACAGTGTACTGCTTTCACAAAATAAGACAGTCAGAAAGAAAAAATGGCACAGATTGCAGAAAGTAGGGACATATTAATTTGTAACACAAATAAGGAAGTAAAACAGGTGCATTCATATCTAAAAATAGATTTTCACACATCTCACATACATTATGATCAAATGAACGAATCTAACTTAGAATTCTGTTTCTGCAACAGCGATGCAATTCCTTCTCCTACATATATTTTATAAAATCTAAGTAAGTGGCAGGCGATTTCATAAATTTATGAGACATACAACCAGGTATTTTGGTGATAGTTGTTTCATTCCAACTTCATAGCATTAAAGTTTTTTGTACTGTTGTGCTCCTACTTTACCTGTCCTAATGAGTTCCGATAAATGGTTATCATACGTATGTAACATGGATTTATCGGACTCTATTGTGCATAATCAAAATTTATTAACATTTTAACATAACTTTTTGCCGAAATTAATTAATGTTACAGTAACAAATTTTGTTATTTGCTTGATCTTATTTCGAATAACACAACAAACAGCATTTACCGAATATTTCGAATAATAAAAATCTCCCTTTTACAGGTTATTTCTCTTGATGTCGATCTAATGTTGAACGCAGATATCAATGAATTATGGAACCGTTTCATGTACTTCAGAGGTTCTCAAGTAAGCAAATCTACAGTAAAACAGCTGCCTTTCAGACAATAGCTTCTAGATAGGAAAATTTCTAAAATAGTTAATGGAATTTAAACACCACTGTGATGACACCTACAAATATGAAATTCATTAGACTTTCTGCATTAAAAGTTTTACCAGAAATCCGTCTGAAATATTGTAAAAATGATGAACCTTTTTTCTGTCTGTCTAAAACATTTTTCTGTGCTCTGCTTCAGAGCAATTAATCGAAATAAACGTGAAAAGTACACTGAACTCCATCAATCAGAAATCATGAGAGAAGTTCCACATCGATGTATGAGTCAAATATCAAAATAAGATTTACATTGTGCTAAAATGCCAAACTTCTGCTCTTATTTTCATTCTGGTAACCGTGTTATGGTATTTATAGTATAGTATAGTATATATGAAAGTCAGATGCGTTCAAAATAACTGTCCTCATATTTGCTGATACTTCAACAAATAATTATTATTTCCTTTAATTCCTAGAGGAACATAGGGCTTCAGCCGCACGTCTCCATTGCGTTCGATTCTCTGACAACGTTTCCACCTGGTTTCAAGTCTGCCCACATGCTTTCATCTTCTCTTCACATCACCTCCTCCAAGTCACCCTCACACTGACGACCAACTCGCCGATTCCCTTTCGGGTTCCACTCGAGCAATGGCTTGTCTAGTGATGTCACTTGATGGTTTGTTCTCTCAGAGTATGGCCAATCCATCTCCATTTCTTCCTGCTTATTTGTTGCATAGTCGGTTCCTGGTTGGTTTGCTCCCAGAGATCCCTGTTGATGATCTTTTCTGACCGGCCATCTGATCTTGAGTAGCATTGAGCGAAGACAGCTGTTGATGAAGGTCTGTAGTTTGTTTGAGATGCTCTTTGTGACGCGCATTGCAAGTCTCTGATCCGTATAGTAGCACTGACTTCACACTGGAGTTGAAAATCCGTACCTTGTTTTTCATGCTGAGTGCTGTTGACCTCTCTTTATTGCCTCCTAATGAGTAATTTATTTTATTTAATGATCATAGAGATTACTAGCACTGTGTAATAACATATAGTAGAATCCAGGACGCGTGTTTCATCCCATTGAGAACTAGTCATCAGGGTGTACTTGCTGCCCAGTGGTGTATTAGATAATAGTGCACTGGTGTTTGTGTCATTAAGTACTGGATTTGAGTCTCAGTGGGAACATTATGGTGACTAGATAGGATGGAATGTGCCGCCCGAACTCTACTGCCAGCTACTCTCACACACAAGCAAAGCCGAGTTGTTAATCCTAGTCATATCGAAGCATCCTTTCAGTCAGCCCAAATACCAAAAATAAGATTGATCACTTCGGTCTAGATATATCAGGGGCAAATAATTGCATACATTTAGGAGTTTCAGTTTACGAATTAAGAAAGCTTGAGCTATGTTAACATGCTTTTTTGATTTCTTTCTTCGAAAGCTTGATGCAGAACGTAGAACGAGTCTATGAGGAAGCTAAGTGATTTTCGTTTACGAGATAATAATCAGTACCATGACTTAATACTTTCACAAATGATAACAAAAACTGTCTTTTTTTCCTTCAACCTAATCGAGAAATTTTACTGTCACCTACACTAGCAAATGTACATTACTATTTACAAATGTTAATTACCTTTAAGGTAATGAACATCATGAAAGTGATTAAATTGATTGGCAAGATGTGTTTGACATTTCATCATTTACAATATTAGGCTAAATAAGAAATACCTTCTGTTTGTCAACTCGGTATACAACAGATTCGCATGTTTTCATTTCAAGTAGTTTGTCACTTATGTTATCCGCGCATAACTTTTCTATATGACATTTATGACACGGTAATTTTTGCATATAATCAGATCGAACAACTTATTTTCAAATACCTCTTTTGTGCTAAATTCATATCTTGTTTAAGCTCTATGCCTTACTATACACAATGAAATGAGTCGTCACACAGTCTTCCCCAGGCTTTTCTTCTTTTCTAGGAATGATCATTCTAGAGGAATAAGCACTGCAACATAATTATTCAGTAGCAGAGAAGTGGGATATATGTCTGATTTCCCACAAACTGGAAGATATGCAAGTGAAAAGCAACAAGTTGGAAGAAGAAGCATCCAGAGAAGATATGACTTCCTTCAGGTGAACATAGAGAAAACAGAGGTGATGACGATTCCTGGCCAACACCAATAGCAGCAACAACAGCAGACAACAATAAGCATAAATGGGAGGAACCTGACAGAAACTACCTCCTTTACCTACCTGGGAAGCATCGTTTCAACTACAGGCTGACGGAACTGATGCGGATATCAAAGCAAGGATCGGGAAAGCAAAGCAAGCTTTCACTTCTCTCAAGTCTGTGTGGAAGTCAACAGCATTCAGCGTCAAAAATGAGATCCGGATTTCCAACTCCAATGTGAAGTCAGTGCTACTATACGGATCAGAGACTTGGCCAGCGCGTCATAAAGAACATCTCAAACAAACTACAGACCTTCATCAACAGCTGTCTTCGCTCAATACTACTCAAGGTCAGATGGCCGGCCAGAAAATATCAACAACAGGGATCTCTGTGAGCGAACCAACACAGAAGGATCCGATTATGCAACAAATAAGCAGGAAGACATGGAGGTGGATTGGCCATACTCTGAGCAAATAAACCATCAAGTGACATCACTAGACAAGCCATCGCTCGAGTGGAACCTGAATGGGAAGCGGCGAGTTGGTCGTCATTGCGAGGACGACTCGGAGGAGGTGATGTGAAGAGGAGATGAAAGCGTGTTGGCAGACTCAGAGCCAGGTGAAAACGTTTTCAGAGAACCGAACGCAATGGAGACGTGCTGCTGTAGCCCTATGTTCCTCTAGGAATTAAATGAAATAATAATAAATAATAATAAGCAGAGAAGGAGTATTGGAATCATGAAAAACTTCCGCAGTCTATGAGCATTGCAGAATTCAAATTTATAAAAATAACTTTCGTTACTTTTGTGTTGGAAACTATAATTAAACTTAAATGTCACCGAAAAAGGACCTTATGAATAACACTTCTTATTGTAACTCACTGTATGTAAGAATGTTTTTATTTTAATAATTTTTTCACATAACAATCCCCATTCATGATGATGACGATGTATAGGTGTGGAAATGACTGATTCGTCAAACTCTTCCCTCATCATAAGTTGCCCAATACTGCTTAGGCTTGTTGTGGAAAAATATCTTGGAATGTAGCAACGGTGAATCAGAAAGTGTAATTGGTCACTGGCTTATCACAAGATGCCCATTGATGATGATTCTCCAATATGATTGCCGCCTTTGTTGATCATAGGCATCTATGTGAAAAAGTGTGAGTCACCGTTTTATTTATTTGTTTTCTGTTCATTTCTTTTCAGATGATAGGTTTGGCAATAGAGCAGAATCCTTATTTTGAGAGTGTAATGAACAGTTTAATTAAAAACTGGAAAGTAAGTTTGAGTAAAATGGGTTTTTTTTTCACTAATATCGACAGCCTATTTAAATTTCATCTGACCCCAAAAGGAGTTCAGATTTGTTATCCTGACAGGGATTTTTGTTTTTCAACTACAGCAAAATATTAATTCCAAAATGTTCCGAGGTCAGTAAACTTCATTTGATAACACAAAAGACTGATTGACTCAGGGAATACATCCTTTGACAAGTTGCAGTCTCAAGCATCTCATATTATACTACAAAACTACCAACAAGCTTTAAGCCTATATTTTTCATGTTTCACTGATTACGCCCAACTCTGCTGTTCGATTTGTGTTGGAGATAACGGTTAATACATAAAAAAACTGACTAATGCAAGGTGAATAGTGTTCGAATATTATATAAAGTGTGTGGTGGTAATGAAAGCCTCATTGGAATTATCTGTCTGTTACACTTTATCTGTTGGCCTCTGGATTCAGTCAACAAAACAGTTTGCCTATGGACAGTGTTCGTTACCTCTACTAAAACAAATTACTATCAGCGTAAAGTTCAAAAGTTTCTCTTCGACTCTGATGATTCACCTAATAACCCGTTTTATAATTTAAAAGTGGTTGAAGTCTTTACTGCCAAAATCTGTTAATAAGGTCAGTCATGCAAAAATGAGCCAAACTATCGATTATCAAATAAAAGATCTGATGGAGTAGTCAAAAATGTCGTCGTCCTTCTGGAAGGCGATTTGCTACACTCTTAATTTAGCATCAGTTATTAAGTCTGCCAATAAAATCTCACACAACATTATTGGTAATCACAAAAAGAAAGTAGCAATATGCCAATCAAAGTTAAGATATATGCTCCTGAGGAATCACCAAATCAGGCAATGACAGCTGACTACAGTTGACTCTCCCTGAGCCTATAATGACCTGAATGAAACGACCAAGCATGAAATCACCTTTGGTCTGTTGGTCTGGTTCAGTGAAAACAGATATGTTTTGTGCATTATTTTACGTGTTTTAAGTGAAATAATTGTCCATGTTAAGCCGGTTTATAGAACAAATGACAGCCAGCCAAGTTTATTCTAGGCAGGACACACTTTAGTATGAAGTCACGTCTGGATTAACCTGAAATTCTACATTTTCACTCAAGTAACGTCTAGAAAGGAGTTACATCTGTCAGTGTTTCGTTCAAATGTAGAGGCTACTGAAGTGTGCGAATGGCATCTGACTTAAAACAATATTATTTTCACAAAACAATATGGACATCATCTTACTTTTCAATACACACACACACACACACACACACACACACACACAATCTACAATTCACAGTTCGCATAAAATTTCGCATCCGATAGAAATATACCTCAGATTGTTGGTTTATCCACAACCAGTCGAAATTTGTCATTACTTAAGTGCATTAGAATTTGTTTGTTTGAATGGAATTTTAGCATGAAACTTAAGTATCAATGAGAATGGTAGTCGTCCAGTCATGTCGTAAGGATGAACACTAATAAACATAAATAAATGAAAAAAGCATTTCTCAGACTCAATGCATCTTAGCGATAACTATGTTCAACGTTAAGTTTACTGTAGGTCAGATCACCATAGAAAACAACATCGATTGTAGGCCGTGTGTGTGTTAACTTATCGAAAGGGATCAAAACCACTGGAAAAAATGTGCTTAGGAAATAAGTTTCGAGGTTTATTTCAGTTAATTATTATACATCACCTTTCTGATAAATACTTTCTAATTACATTTGCATATATACACTATAATAATAAGACGTACAAGAAGTTGGCTTTCAAATGAAAGTGTGTTTTTCTTTTTTTTAAAGATATCTTTAACGGAAATAGACAGTTTTACGTGCATTATTCAGTCTTGACCTTTTCCTCTAATTCAAAAACATTTTAATTTATGAGTAACAGTATCTACCATCCAGAACGATAGTTAATGAATGCATTGCAAGGCAAGTAGTCGTTCGCACAAAATAAAATATCAAGAATAAACAGAAAAATACATAATAAAATGAATGATTGTGATTGGTTAGCATTTGTGAATAAGCACCAGTAAAGCCAAACATGTAGAGTGTAATAGGACATGAGCATAAATAGACAGTTTGGCATCACACTGTCTTACGGCTTTTAGATTTAATATAGATGGTGCCACTGAGTGCATTACAAGCAGTGTGTGCCTGCTGATTGATGCTGGTAGATCAGCAGATGTTGATCGATTATTGATAAAAAACTAAAACTACAACTATTGTCAGGGTTTGAAATACAGTATAATTCACTCAGTTATATAAGTGACTGAAATTCAGGTTAATAGTGTCTAATAAAAAGTGATAATAAATGTGAATCACTAAAATGACAAGGTCACTTAAATTATATTCACATAAGCTGAGCACAGTTTGCTCATGTCTGTCAGTATTGAACAAAATTCTTTCATTCTTAAACTGGTAAGCATATAGTCTTTGTTCAATGTGAATGATTGTGAAGTGAGAACAGGGTAATTCTGTACGCACATCAAGCAAGTAACACTGAATTGCGAAATTCTTAAATGCAACAAACCGTGTTTAAAGAATATATATTTAAATATTGGAGATGACTGAATATCGGGGTTTTATTCTACCTTTTAGACAATGTTTATGTGTTTGAGCTATTTCAGCTACCTCTAAATAACGTTTACTTGAGTAAATGAGAATTTCTTACTTATAAGCTACCAGCACTAAAAAGTGCACCGAACGACTGTCTTAAGCCCACACTTGTTTTATAGAACTCAAGATTTAGTTTGTAGTTCACACACCTGGTTCCCTTGATTAGCTTGAACAACGAAAGAGTGAATATATTGACAGGATAAAAAGATTTCCTTTTATTCTAATTTCACGACTTTTCTTCAACTGCTAAGAGACAAAAAATGGCTTAAGTTATCATAAGTGTAAATATATAAAATACTTCAAAAACTGTTCCAACTCAAAGTGCATTTAGTATTTCTTGTCATAGTGATGGAAGAAGAATTATGAATAGGAGATAGTTAGTAACCTAACAACCAGAGTTTATTTTTGCATAGTATGATGAAAATTTTGAATGGACGGGGTAGGAGTGAAAAGAAATAGTAAGCCATATATATGAATAGTCGACTGGTACACTCTATAGCATAAAGATCATAGGTGAGTACTGCTAAAGAGTCTCAAACTAGGACGAAACGGTTGTCTAGTACTTTATGGCTTTCCTTGTCGTATCGTACTGAAATCCTTCATTTATTCACTTCATGAACTGTCGGAAAACTGCTTGTCACCTCAGATCGGTTCTGGTCACTTGATGGTAGGACAAAAGTAGATGGCTAAGTGCTTAATAATTTTATATTTTCCTATTGGCTGATGTTTGTTAAACTGTCACTTAAACCCAATAAGGTATTTAGGCCTCCTAACAAAGTCGAGTATGATTATATTACGAGGAGTCATTTGTCAAAATATTCATTAAGTTTAAATAGTACTGGATATATAATTTCTTTATTTTTAGAACCCTATAGTGAACTGTGCTTCATTGAACTTAAGGTTATTTATTGCAAAATAACTTGCCTAGAAGTATGCATTAAGTGTTTGCATAAAAAAAAATTGTCAATCCTCGGAAGGATCTTCAATAAGCTTTTTGCATACGTAATGGGATAGTAATCAGTTCAAAAGAAAGGTACTATAAGTTCTCTTCTAATCAACAGGCAGTTACTTTTCATTTGTTTCTACTATAGACTTTTCACTTAAGTGATTCCTGAAAAATTGGTTAGTCTAACAACATTTTAAAAGGTTTGAATTCAATGTGGAAATCAAAGGAAGAGATCAGTCTATATATGTCCAAACCAAGTCCACTTTTAACAGGTTGAAAAAGCTTGGGCATTGGGTATTTGATATTCATAATAATAAAGGTTTCTTGTATTTCCCAATGAATAAAAAACAAAACGGTATTGTCTTTATTGACATTTCACTACTTAATGCTAATAGTGAATCCAACAATCTACACCTGGCTTGGTTAAGTGTGTAAAATTATAAAAAGAGCGTGTGTTTACATAACTAAATTGCTTATCACATTCGTATTGATTTCATCATTTCACGGGGGAGGGAGGTGTTGTAACCAGGTCAAATTCTGTTTTAATCCATCATTCCTATTCTGACAATTTGGATTCCATTTGATATGAAGTGCTTCTGATATTAGACGTTCTTTGTGATTTCTGAAATTTTTCTGGATGATGATTTCAATATTGTCAAAATCAATTTTGTGGCCTGATTCTATAGCGTGTAGACCACCTATGGCTGATGATTTTTCAAGTTTTTCTAGTTCAACTGGATTTCTTGGCGGCTGAACAGATGCTCTACCGTGTTCATTTCTTCTGGTTTTGATTTCTCGTGATGTTTGTCTGACGTATATCGCATCACATTCCAAGGATTTTATTTTATAAATCGTGGAAATGCCCATCGGGACATTAGAGGGGAAAGAACAAGAAGTTCAGCAAAGAGATCTTTTCGACGATTTCATTCTCAAAAGCTGTACAATCGCATTTATATAGATAAGTTTACATGGATACAATTATTATTATTTATTTAATTCCACATATTAACGAAGGAGGCAATAACTTTCAACTTGATGTGGAAGTTTGAAGGTACGAATTTAGATTACAAGGGGCTTAGAGACAGGATTGCATAGGATTAGGAAACAGTTACAACGTATACAAAATTAATATTTGATAACTAGAGAAATAATTTTAAAGGCGAATAAAAGGTGACAATTATTTTCAACTTGATATGAATTACAAGAGGCTTAGAAACAAAAGTTACGCAGGGATAGAACGAATTACAGGTGTGAACAAAATGAGCATGGAAACAAATTGAAATCAAAATTTTTCAACTTGAAATGTAAGTTAGGAGGTGTGAATATAGATTACAAGAGGCATAGAAACAAAAAATTACACAGGATTAAAATCTAATTGTAAAACGGTTATTCTAAATGGATCACAAGAGGAGGAGCAAGGCAACAAACTTAAAATAACTGATTTTATAACTGAAAAAATAGGATGAATTGAATGAAGACAAAGAGAGAAAACTACACATACAGAGAACAAAACAAGACAAAAAAGAACAAGACAAAAGAACTGAACTAGGTCCGCGGTAGTTGTAAGGGCTGGACTTGTTTCTTTTGAACACATAGTTCCGTCTTTTTGATGTATGTGGATTCATATTTACAAAGTAAACAAAAATCTACCAAAGACAGTGTGTTTCCGACTTCTTTGTACTGCGAAAGCTCTCATCAAATGCATCTATGCCTCTTGTAATCTATATTCACACCTCCTAACTTACATTTCATGTTGAAAATTATTATCTCCTTCGTTAATATATGGAATTAAATAAATAATAATTGTATCCATGTAAACTAATGTATTTAAATGCGATTGTACAGTTTTTGAGAATGAAATCGCCGAAAAGATATCTTTGCTGATTTTTTAGATAGAGAATCTTTAGGAATTCGGTATTTTATATGGATAAGGTTGTTTCGTAGTGTGTCTGATGTTTTGAAGAAAGCTTTGACGCTGAGCTTATTGAGTACTCTTCTAATATCGTCTGACGTCTCCGCTCAATATAGAATGGCAACTGTTGAGGTACATGTTTTTGGAGTACGTCATCGACCATATTTAATGTTGGTCGTTTAGAAAACGTTCCAGATTTCTTTTTATTATGTACGAGATGACTGGATGAACCTTCGCTGTTTGCTACACTTCGTTTTGTAGTGTTTTATACGATTTTATCTGTGCACTTCAGGGAGTGTCGATATCACTATGAAATGTTACTTAAGTATTTCGAAATGAAATTTTTCTTGATGAGAAATATCGTCGAAGTATAACTGACAATCTAAAAATATTTATTAAATCTTCTAAACTTTTAATATTTCTTCTTTTCTGTCTTGATTCTAGGGATACGGATACAATACTGGTGTTATTTTGCTGGACTTGGCTAAACTGCGTTCCATACCATGGAATCATTTATGGATGAGTGCTACAAAATTTATTATGAGAAATATCGGCTATTTAACAACTGCAGAACAAGTTGGTAGAGTTTTTAGAATTTAGTTTTGCGAATTCTTGAAAATTCAACAGTTTAAAATTATCTACTTTGAGTAGTCTAACTAGACTGAAGAAACAACTTAACCATTGATGGAATTTCGCCTTCAATGCACAATTGACATTTATTGAAAAACATAATGTTTGATAGTTTCTGTGATTTAAGAATAGAATTTAAGTATTATGACAAAGTAAAATTCCATATTATTATAATATTATTATTGATCTCTTGGGTTCCTAGTGGAAAATAGGGCTTCAACTGCACGCCTCCACTTGCTACGGTCTTCCGCTGTACTTTTCACTTGCATCCATTTTAGTCCGTACTGTTTCAGTTCTTCTTCACACGATCTCCTTCATGTCACCATTGGACGACCCACTCACCGCTCCCTTTTGGGTTCCACTCGAGCATTGGCCTGACGCGCGATGTCATCCAACGGCCCCCTCAGCAAGTGTCCAATCCATCCATCTCCACTTTCTCCTGCATATTTGTCGGGCAACTGGTTCTTGTTTTGTTTGTTCCCATAGTTCCTTGTTGGTGATTCTTTCCGGCCATCTGATCTTCAGTATAGAGCGAAGACAGCTGTTGTTGATGAAGGTCTGCAACAGGCTGTTGGAAATATTCTTTGTGACCCGCTGGTCAAGTTTCTGATCCATGTGTATAGAAGAACTGACTTGACGATTGTATAGAAAATGCGAATTTTGTTGTTGATGTTGAGTGACGAAGATTTCCAGATTGGTTTCAGGTTGATGAATGTGTTTCTCGCCTTCCTGATTCTCGATTTGACATCCTCGTCCGTTCCTCCTGTAGTTGAGACAATGCTCCCTCGCTAGATAAGTGAATGAAGTAACCTCTTTCAAATCCCTCCCGTTGATGGTGATTGGCGCTGGATGTTGCTGCTGCTGTTGTTGTTGTTGGTTGGTTATTTTCACAACCCCCGTCTTGTCTATGTTCACCTGGAGTCCTGTCTTCACCGGCTGCTTCTTCGACCAGTTTGTCGGTTTTCGCTTGTAAGTCTTCGATTTTGTGTGACATCAAACATAAATCATCTGCGAAATCCAGGTCTTCTAGGTTCTTCATGTCGGTCCAGGATATCCCTGTCTTCTCGTTTCCCACTGTCTGACGCATAATCCAGTCCACCTCAATTAGGAATATCATTGGTGATTGTAAGCACCCTTGTCTGACTCCTGTGTTTACTCCAAACGCCTGGCTGAGTTTTCCGTTGTGGATCACTTGACATGTGCCATTGTCGTACAGCTGTTGAATAAGGTTGATGAATATTTGGGGTACGCCGTATTGAAATCATTTAATTTAATAAAACACACAGAGATACAGTATTGTATATTCACTGATGACGTTTTGAGCGTAATGTATTGCTCATAATCACCTCAATGTAATGGGCAATACATCGTACCTGTAACGCTGAAATAGAAACCCCAATGGACACTTCCAGTTATTCAGATTTTCTCCACATCATCAATCATTACTCATTACATCAAGAGTAATTTACTGGCAGAAGACTATGCTAGATAATCTCACTTTACTTTCCTTGGATTTATAAATATTTGACGATGTTCCGAATATGAAGTGTTAGAGTAATAATTAGCGAAGTGTTGATGGAGTCGGAATACTCACTTTTTGTGTTTCTCCAGTTTATTCACTGCTAACTTCTCATCATATGAGACCAACTACAATAATTGGCATGTCGTCTTAACCAAACTGTTTGGTGACAAAGACTCCAGACAGATATTTGCCTACTTTTACTATTGAGGTTTTGTAATAAAGAAGGAATATGACTGATTATTAGTATTGTGTATGAAAAGTGCTTAGGTGGTTCAATGGCAGAATGCTCGCCAACCGCGACAGTGATTGGGACTCAACTCCCAGCCGACACAATTCTAAACCTCGACTAGTTTATTAGCCCATAACAAGCTCGGTAAAGAGGGGAGGGTGAATGTACAGTTAACAACCTCATTCATTTAAGTAACACCATTGCTCCTGAAACCACAATGTTTGCAGCCCTACATTCACTCGAAATGCAAAGAAATGAGAGAAATTTAGCATGAATAGTTAAAACATTTATCTTGATTTTCATAATATGATAGTATTCCTTTGCACTTTTGCAATCTGAATCAATCTGCTACGGATTTGTTTCAGTCACTGTATTGTTTGTGAATGCAACCGCCTACTGGTTTCTGTCTAGTCTGCCTACCATATCTCAAGACACTTTGTAGTTTCAGAATTCGAATAGCTAAAATATAAAGGGTATCCTGACACATGTAACAACAGAAGACAAGGGCCAGGCAACAGATCGTTTATTAAAGAAAATCAACACATATTTATAGATTTTAATGTACATTATTGTTAGTGGAAAATACAGTCTTTTGATTGGTTGTTTCTCGCAGAAAGTTAACTTTGCATCTCTTTGTGGCTGTGTCAGATCATCCATATGCTAACTGTATCAGCCTACGCAAAGCCTTTGTTCTCATTTTCTCACCACCAGTATTGGGGACATAAACATTGACATTAATTACTGTCTACCAACTTTGGCTAGCAGCCAGCTCTCACCACAGACACAGTACCAATTATGACCGTTTTAATTTTTAAGCTGAAACACTATGAAACACTAATTCATACTGTCGACAGTTGTTTATGCAACCAGTTTCACTGATATACAATAAACCAGTAAAGAAAGAACAATAATTGACAAGTTGATTAAGGTAAAATTCTCATGTGCCATACACACTTGACACCACTGACAAAGTGCAGTTATTTTCTCCACTTTCAGTAGAGATATGTTTATAACCTGTAAGGCACGGAAACATATAGCATCAGTTATTGCTACAAATAAATGATACTTAAATTAATCCCAGCGTGTTAAGAAAATCAAAACAAGGTTCTTCTGAAAGTTTCACTGTATGTGTATGCCACAGCTTTTTCAGCAGATTTATCAGTCAGCGAAACTTTCAGAAGAATCTTGTTTTGATTTTCTTAACACGCTGGGATTAATTTAAATAATTTATAATGAATAGACACGGAACAAAGAGCACTCTTTTCGATAAATTCATCATCAGGTTCTACAATTATATATACATTATAATGAATGAATGAATTAGTCTTATGAACGACATTAATGTTTAAATAACATCAAATCAATAATATTGATAAATTACAGCTGAACAGCATCAACATAAAATAAACTGAATGTCAGAAGAATTAGGAAAGGTAACAGAGCAAATTCATGAGTTTATAGTCTCTACTGAGGGCCAGGGCAGTAGTAGGGGCTGGACTTGTTTCTTTTGAACACAGAGCACTGGTTGTTTCAGGCGAATTGCCATAGACTCTGCTGTTTGGAGTATGCGGTGCTTCGACGATTTTGGTAGTTTGTTAGGCACCCGGTATATTATGGAGAAGGATTCTTCTACGCTGGCTTTGTGACCGGTTTGCACCAGATGGTCTAATATCGAACGGTTAATAGTTTTAACTACACCTTTACTTAGCCATAGTGGGATATGTTCTCGAGCACGAATCTGACTCGGCGCTCAAATTATTCCAGGAAGTTCGTAACACCTATGGCCTGGAAACCTATAATAAATGATGCTGTTGTATTGTAAAGCAATCAGCCGAAATCTTGTTATTTTTCGTATTTCACATTCTTTGTAGGACATCATCAATTTAATTGCATCAAGAAATATCGAATTGTTTTATGAAATCCCCTGCGAGTGGAACATTCAATTAAGTCGAGGTGTTGAGATCAAAAGGTGTCCAGTTACCTGGATTACAAAAAATAAACAGGTGAATGATGAAGAATTATTTTACAGGAATCAGCCTAAAATTATTCACATGAATCATCAAATAAAGCCAGAGGATATTGACTTGGAAAATGTACTGAACATAGATTTAAACACCTCGGATACGATTTATAATGGTAAGAATAATAAAAGCATCTGTAAATTCTTTCGAAATTTCATGGTATGCTGGACTTCTAAAGAAACAGGTTTAAATCCTGGGTTACTGATGTTGTTTATAGGCACGATCACCTTAACCTCTATTAGAAATTAATGAATTTATTTTTGAGTCAGACAGTTAGTTTAACTGTTTAACATGCCAGCGATCAACTATAGGGCAGGATTAAGCAACAGAAATACTTTCTGTGAGTGGTATTTAATGCACTTTCGTCGTTGGCTTAATAATGATGTGTTTTAAAACGACTTCTTGGTTTCAGGAAAAGTTGACTGTCACTATTATTGAAACTAGATGAAAAGTGTGAGAGGGAAACATACCTCGTCACTACACAGCAAGAGCAAGAAAGTAGTATTAACCTAATCAGTAGTAATTCAGTCGGTAATGATTGATTACACACCACAGATGGTGTTTCTCAATGAATCAACAAATTCAATAGACAGAAAACTGTTATAGAAAAAAGATGGGTAGCTTAATGAAAGTGCCCGGACCGTTAACACTGGAAGCAACAATCGATGGGATCACCTCAGTGAATCTACTGCATAATCGCTGTCAGTTGAGAGTTGACAGTATTTCAGTTATGCTGGACTTCACAAGTATATGATACAAATCTGGAAGTTTTATCTACTTTCACTTCAAGTTCTTACATCTCAATATGCTTTGATAAAGCAATTCTGAAGAAACTTGCAAGGAAGGATAAATCACAAAAGATAATTCTACTGCTTGCTATCTTTGAGTTGAGTTAAGTTTTGAACGTGCATTAAAGTGCGGCAGTTCAAATCGCCACAATTTTCAAAAATGCATACATAAATGCAGAGAGAAATCTCTGGGGGAGGGGGTGGAGGAAAGGCACACGGAAAATAATGGGAATTTATCGGATATAGGAGTCTATAAGGAGTGAATACATTTACATCATTGTGAATAAGTTCTATACATTCATTCAGACAGAAAATCTTGTGTTCTGTGTCACACGTTTTATTTCAAGCTATTTAGATGTAGGGGAACTAAGATTCAAGAGAACATTCGTAAAAATCTAAATGTATTTTTC